TTCTTTCTTTCTTTCTTTCTTTCTTTCTTTCTTTCTTTCTTTCTTTCTTTCTTTCTTTCTTTCCTTCCTTCCTTCCTTCCTTCCTTCCTTCCTACCTTTCTTTCTTTTAGTGGTACCATTCCCTCCCTAACTAAAGCTGTCTACCACACTAGGAAGCCCAAATCCCCTTTCCATTTGCCCTTTCTTATGTGTGTCATAGAAGTAGCCACTAAACACTGTTTCATCCTCTAGTTATCAATTTCTCTGGATTATTTTTCTCTGTAAAAAGTTACTTCCTTGCCTGATTTCTCCTCAGTTCCTCATTAGGCACGGAATTCTTCAGTTTGTCCAGTAAAGGTTTTCAGGTGTGTCCTCCACTCTCCGACCCTGTCTGAGCAGTTACCTTCACAAGGTCTCCCTCCTGTCCAGCAGACCTTTGGGCTCTTTGACATGTCTATACATCGCACGCGCCATTTTCTTTTCCCTAGAATGTTCTCTATGTCAAGGGTTCTAAAATTTCCTTGAAACTAAAAATCATGTGCATGCTTGTCAATAACTACAGATGTCACACTTCTCCTCAGGTCTGACTATAGGGTTGGGAGATGGCTATAGGAAGCTGTGTAATTGGCTACACATTCATCCTTATTGAGCACTTTTAGGGAACCCTTTGTCCCCTACTCCACCTTCAGCATATAATTCAGTCACTCCTTCACCTTGCAAGGTTTTGGGGAGTATAGGTACAATTCAGTCCTCCAGGACATCAGACATCTCCTCTAGTTCCACTCACTACATACGTTTCTTATTACCACTTCCAGGGCCTGTTATAACTCACTTGACTCCGCTCTTCATTCCCCTTACCCCACCCCCACCTCTGCCTCGGATTCTATTATCTACAAAATAAAGTTTGCTCTTGGGTCAACTCGGCAAGTGATTTGAACATCCACATTTGAGGTGCTAGTCTGTATCTGACACAGAATTAAATGCAACATGGTCGACAGCTCCATGGAGCTCAAGATGTCTAAGATGGAGCATCTTTGGCATTTAAAAGTCTTTCAAATTTTGGCCTGATGTACCTTTTTCTGGCTATCTTGTGAAGGCGCCATCACACTGCACCCAGTCACCCTAGGTCCTTTGCACAGCTATGTTTTTTTACTGGAAATGTTCGTTCTTCTGTGGTGGGTAGTCCATTTATTTCTACTTTCCTGGTGTCACTAACCTTTTGTTTAGGAAATCTCATTTTTTTTCTGTAACCAGTCTCAGTCTTGCTTCTCTCTCTCTCTCTCTCTCTCTCTCTCTCTCTCTCTCTCTCTCTCTTCCAAGACAGGGTTTCTATGTGTAGTTTTGGTGCTGTCCTGGATCTCGCTCTGTAGACTAGGCTGGCCTCAGACTCACAGAGATCCACCTTGAGTGCTCTTGAGTGTTGGGATTAAAGGCGTGCGCCACCACCGCCTGGCTGTCTTGCTGTTCTTACATGCATTTTACATCTTTTCCGAAGGTTTGTCCCAGGGTTGAGTTTGCATTTTTTAAACGTAATTACTGGTTGCTTTTATTCCCCTCTGATTTATAAGCTCCCTGAAGTCAGGTATGGCTCCCTTTATTGCCCTTTGTATTAAAATGATCTTGAGCCTATTTTTTAGATGTTAACTAAAATTCATTGACTAGATTACTGAAAAAGTCCCCTTTTAGAGTCTTTCATGCACTTGCACAAGTGAATTTCCCACAGGTTCCTGTACTTCCTTCCTTTCCTTTGTATTCATGTGTTATTCCCTCTGCTCTGGAATGTCTTTGGCCACATCCTTTCAAATCACCTTTCTACCCATCATCGTGTGTGTAAGTTCCCTGCAAGGCTTCCCTTCATTCTTCTGCTGTGAAGTCTCTCTTTCAAATGCTCTCATTGCATTACCTCTTTCAAAAAAAATTGGTTATTTACAAAGTTTATTATTGTTATTCTTACGACGATTTCATCACTCACTAGGTTAGGCTGTGTCGTAATAATCTGATGTTGTATTCACTGTACATTTAATTCTCTATCTGTGAAATTTAAATTTTTTCTTTATTTCCAATGGGGGTAGAGTCATGTTCTCAGGTGTTAGAATGGAAAAATGATCACAAGCTAACCATCTGAAAAGTACTGTCACTCTGTACCGGAGAGACTGTGAACAGAGGAGAGACACAGGAAAACACTCTGAGGCAGCACAAATTCAGAAAACTAACCAGCCAAACAAACAAACAAAAACCAAAATAAAACAATAATAACAACAACAAAACATTCTTCAGCAGCAGAAAATATGAATGAATCATGATATAGTCCTCATCACCATAGTGAAAATCATTCAACCATAGCCACATGCAAGAATTTTCATGAAACAAAAATGTAACAATGAATGGAAAAATAAAAACCAAAGAACATATACTGTGTTGTTCTACTTACATAAAGTCCAAAGAAGAATTTCCTTATTGTTTAAGGACTAGTATCTAGTGTTATGGCTATGAAGAAAGGTCAAGAAAATAGTTACTGAGTACCACAAAGTGAATATCTGTGGTGGCGAGGATGGGAGTTGGATAGCTTACATGAGGTGGTAGGGGACTTCTGGATGTCCTAGTCTAGTTTCTTTGGTGTTCTCTGTATAACT